ATTGAAACGAAATGGTCAAAAGAAAATCAGTGGATTAGGTCTATTCTCTCTCTCTCCCTCTCTCTCTCTCATTCTCTCCTTGATGTATACGACTTCGTCTAGAATTAAGCACATCTGCCTTCATTCTTCATAGCCTTTTTGATGTGTGTTTTTTTCCATATTAACTACTCTCTTCTATAACCATCAGTGATAATTCGTTCTTTATATGGTTCATTTCGGTTATGCTTCTCTCTCTCTCTTTCTCTCCCTCTTAGTGTATGTTGTTGTTGACCATAAAAGGGAAAGCCTTTTGGAATAAGATAAAAGTCTATCTCATCCATCAGATCAATTCTCTAATGTTTTATGTCACTTCTTTAGATGGACATGTGCCATTCATGCTTTTTTCCATCCTTTTGTACCCAACATTCGATTTCGTATGTGTACCTTCATATCTTGCCAGCCGCAATACTTCTATCGCACATTCTTCATCTTGTCGTCGTCTGCTTTTTTGTTTTCTTGCGACATCGGTCATTTTCATTCATCTCCTTCTCCATTCCCCCTCCTCACCCCATCCCTGCCACTCGTTTTTTTATTTTCTGTTTTAAGTTAGCCATTTATGTCAGAAATTGAAAATTCGTTCCGGAGAACTAGTCCCAGGAGAGGTTAAAAGACAGAGTGGACAACGTTGGAAAAACGATGAAGAAAAATCCTCTCAAGTCTGAAGAAGCCGGATGAAATGTACATTGAATATCATCTGACAATGACTTCATCGTTGTTGACAAACATATGTGGAATGAAAGAGAGATGAAGACTTGTCTTTGAGCTTCCTTACTCTCTAATTAAATGATTCTCATGGAAAACGAGCCACTTCGTTCTTTCATTCTCCCACTCACTCTCTATCTTACTTCTCCCATTCTTTCTCTCTCTCACTTCTCTTTCTCTCTCTCTATAATACTTCACTTCCTTTATTTATTATGAAAAGTTATGAGATGACGTCACCTTTCGATAGTAATTACCTAAGATGGAATACCCATAAAGTGCTAATACAATTGTTTCACCGACCTGTAATTACGGAAGTAAAAGTATTTTCAAAGAAATGGATGACCATCCCATGCCCAAATGGAATTTTTTCTTTTGTCACTCTTCCCCATTTTTGCTTTTCACCCTCAACAAGAAAGAGCATCTCATCTTCTATTCATAACCTCTTTTCGCACTCTCTTTCTCTATGAAAAATTTCTTTTTCTCTTCAGTTTTTCCGGCAGCTCTCTTTCTTTCTCTCTTTCTCTTTTTCATGTGCGTTCAATATCTCTCTTCATGGATATATCCTCTAATACGTTAATTGTACCTTTCGAAACGTTTGGCCTCTTTTAACCTCTTATGAGGGTATTTACGTTCTGTTAGATTGTTTTACTCTCGATTTACTACTTTTTTTTTGTCACTCTCTTTCTCTCATGTGTTTGTTTGTCATATTCTTTTTTTTTTCTGAAAAGTTTATGAAATCGATAAAACGTGGGAAAAGTTGTCAGCAAAACTGACCACAACATCATGCATTCCTTTCATGTTGGAAGGGGCAAGGCTTCAGCTATAGATTCGCTCTGAAAGCCTAATTGGCCAATATGAAAGATCTTATTATTCACATTTTGTTTCATAAATGATATTCTTCTTTTAGTTTATCTCACTTCTTTCCTTTCCTCATTCTTTCATTCTCTCTCTCTCTCTATCTGTCTTTCAGCCGTCTGCAACTTCGTTCCAATGGCATCAAATGCCAAACACAGCCATTCTCTTTGGTCTCTTTATATTTCTCTCTATCTTTCTTCACTCTCATTCATTTCTATGAGCTTTATTTACCTAAATGTATATGTACATATACTCTCTATGTTATTCCTTTCCAATTTATTCAAAAGCGTGCGTTTGCAAAGCTTAAACGAAACATCTATCTTTCAATGATGGTTATTCATTCCATTTCGAGATAGTTCTCCGTCGATAACTGATTCATAATTCCCCCTTTTGGCTCTATCTCGTTTACTCTCTCTTTATCTATCTCTTTCCCCCTCTCTCTTTCTCCATTTTTTTTATTTTCTTCTCACCTACCTCAAAGCACAACCGTTCACTGCTTCTGCGAGCCTGTCATGTAAACATGGACGTCTATCGTCAATTGCTATACGTGAGGGAGATCACGTATAATTAGCATACATTTGATTTGTGCTTTTTACTAATTTCGCTCATACCCTGCTATTTGCTGACTAGATTACCAATTGTAATCTACCTTAATGTTCTGGAGCTGTGCTCTTGCACCACCATATTTGTATCAGCTTGCCTATGATTTCTTTGAAGCTGTATCTGAAATTGTTCACCATCAATTTGTATTTCACAAAACAAACACTACAAACGGTTTTGAGTCTTCTGCTCATCTGCTGAAGGTCTTCTCTTCTTTTGTATTCTTTAAGAAGATTGCCGCATATGATCTCAACATTCACCTCACTTGAGCTTTATCCATCAATATCCGTTTTAGCTTTATCATTTCATACTCTCTCACTGTCTCTATCTCTCACATATCTCATCATATTTCCATCTGTTGCTATATAACCTAAGCCTTTATGTGTATATATATGCACATACACATGTTGGAAATGTTAAAATACATTCTCAATAGAACACCTGTACCAACATTTCATGGATATTAAGGCTTTTCTTATGTGAAACATCAATTTTATATCCGTTTCAAAGCTTATTTTTGACTTTCCTTCTCATTCACTAAGCTATTTCCATGCAAATCGTATTGATTGTTAGCAATTCTCTCTTCTTCGGTTCTTCTTCCTTCTTTCTCTCTCTTATTCAACAACTTTGTCCTAATTTAGTAAATTAACCAAATTTCACCTTAAATGTCTTCATCCTCTTCTTCTCTACTCGGCTTTTGTTGTCATTCTCTGTGCATTCATCATCATCATAACATTTAAAGAATTATCGTCTCCAACCACATCACTCACTCACTCATTCACTCACTCACTCACTCATCCTTCTTCAGTTTTTTGAAACATTCCTTGTATAATAAAAAATGTTTTTAAAAGATTATTTTGAAAATAAGCTTATGCGAGTTTTGAACTACAAATCGTTTCAAACTTGCAAACAGTTTTCTCATTTACATAACATCTTAAAAAGCAGTTGCTTTAAATCCTGAAGCGAATTATAACTTTGCCTTACTGTAAGTCTCAATATGTTGTTTGTCCTTCCGATCATTACTGTTAAGCAATGTTTTCTCAGCTTATTTATTGCATTTTCTCTCTTCTCAACCTCATAGATTATTCGTTTCGCAAAAAAAAAGAAAAGAAAAAAGTTCAAAGTTGACTTAACTGACTACCTGATGTCCATGACTCATTCTCAACCCCGTTTTGGCCAACGTTGTAGTTTCCTTTTTAATAATTTTTGTTTGTTTTGAGCATTAACTGATTAGGTTTTGTATCGACAAAGGGTCAATTTACTCTTTGGTTTTTTTTTTGGCTTTTTACTATTTCTCTTCCATCAATCATCCTAACTTTCCCTGTTTTACTTTTATTCTTCCCTCTTCTGATTAATTTCCATAATGAGTTCGTAAACTTCCATTTGAAATGCTTTATTTGTGTGAAAAGAAAGTGGATTTCTTTAATTTATTTGATTTTCCGCCTAAAAAGGCTATTTCATTCTTTGATTTAAGAAAGATTCGACATGCCGTTACCACACACACACACATACAAACACATACACAAATACACACGCACGTAAAGCTTTTTGAAAGTTTCGCGCAACCGCTCTGTAAGCTAACAACTTTGAAAATGAAAAATGTGCGCTCACGTATACATCAAACGGCAAATTAGAATATTTACTTTCGTTAGTGTCAATGAACTTTGTGATTGTTGATTTGTCTCCCTCTCCCAAGAATTCCTTTTGATACTTGTTTTGTTTTCGTGATTTGGCCAGTCCTTTCCCACTACCCATCTCAATCATTCTTATATTGAACGTCTTTTACATATCGTTTGTTCATAGTGACCACAGCTCTATCTCTTCTTAGTGTCTTTCTCTCACCTTCTTCTTTCTCCTTCGATGACAATAGACTCAGCCACAGGAGGTCGTATATGGAGATGACGTCCTCTTGGTATAATGGCTATTTCATTTATTCAATGAAATATGTTTGGTGAGATCTTATTATACCTGACTGTCTTATCATCAATCAGACATTATGATCTGCAAACCTCTTTTTAACAGTGCACTTCTAGCTCTCTCATTTCTTATCTCTTTATTCATTATGGATATTGTGGTTATTGATTTTATCATTGATATTTTTCAAAATTGTCAACTTCATTCAAATCGTATCCCATCGTCTCATTCCTTTCATCCTATATTTTCGCATTTCCAATACTTTTTTTTCATTATTACGTACATGGTTGTTTTCTGTTTGTTCAGCTGATTATTCCATTTGAAACATCTGCATTCGTTGTTTCATTTAACTTTGATTTCGCTTTCTACATTCCCATTCGATACTTTACCTGTTCATCTGTTTAGCTTTTCCTCCTTTAGTTTACTTTAACTATATGTCCTCAGTTTGCTAACTGTATGCGTTTTCTGCAGTTGTCAAGCTTCGACCTCATTTTCATTGGAGACGCCCCGCCTACTGTCCACTCTCCTTCCATCCAGCTCTAACCCGAGCTCCACCCCTGCATCAACTCATGTTTGAGACAGCTCCATATTTCATGCATTTCTTTCTAAACCATTTCATATTTTTCATTTCTTTTGTGTGGAAAATCCTTTTTTTCGTTCTCCGTTGAGTTTGATCGTAAACTTTTGTCTTCGTTCTATATTATAATTTTTGAATAACCAGTCCAGGTTTCAGATGTATGTAATATTCATGGTGTAATTGACACACGACAACAAGATTTTGCGTCAGCTTTGGTTTATCTCAAAGTCTTTCAACGCCGTCACCAATCTTCACCTTCTAAAGTATTCTATTGGTTTCATCTATAGTGACGACCGACACTAAAAATATTATTATGGTGAACAGTAACAGCAAAGCAAATCCCACGTCGATAAGCTTTCGACGTGTTGCTAGTCTAAAGGCTGTTAATCATTGGCTATTCAACTGTTCGCAACATCTTCTGATTATTGCTCCTCCACATTGTGGTAAAACGGTTTTATGCAAGCAGGTGAGACTTTGTTTTCATTATTGTTCTTGTATTAGGGGCTTAGTTCCCATGGGATTTTGTTTATTCATCGTTTTCTCTTTGAACTGCATATTATATCGAGTTCATATCATGTTGACGGTTCGGGAATCATCTTCATCTTGTTTTCTTCAACTTGGTCAAGGCAAAATTGTTTTTCTCTTGTAAAAAGTTAGTTTAGAAGTGGACATACGAAAGCTTATAAGTCATCAGACCACTTCCAAGCTTACGAGAAACCAATTGAGGCATAGAGAATTTGATCGGCGAAGAGAAAAGCTAATAGAATCGTTATTTTGCGTGTCTATCAAACATTTGCCATGCCTTTGGTCATTGTGTGAGTTAGCATAGAAGCGCTACATTCATCCGGAACCATGAGAAGATGTTGACGACAAATGCAATTTTTGGTTTCTTTCTTAGTTCCGTTTGAAAAAAAAAGAATTATAATATTCCATTTAACGAAACATTATATGTTTTTCAATTATTCGAAAGTGTGTTAATGCATGCCATCTGAAAATTTGTTAGTCTTTTGGATTGTAAAAAGCTTTTACACAATCATACTTCGTTCAGTTAACGGGATGTCATGAATTGCTGTCAAAGAGCACGAACGACCATTGTGCAACTTTCCTTCCTATCAGATTTCCCTCTTTGTTCTATTCCCGTTGTTGCAAACTGATACGAACTCATCAAACAAGCTTTCACACATAGGTGATTAAACAATATATTAACAGCAGAAGCTGACTAGTCAATGTTGTGCTGATTGCCAAATTAGCAAAACTATGGGTCAGTTGGTGGGAAGATCTACTCTTCTGCTCTCCCTTTCTCGCTCATCTCATCTCCTTTTCTCTTCTTCTCTCTCTCTCTTTTAAAGGAATTGATGTCACTATTCAGAGTGCCCGATTCTCATCATCATCATCCTCATCATCATCTTCTTATTCTCACATCTTAACTTGATTAAAGTTCTAACGAAATTTACTGGACGCATAATTTGCTTCCTTGCCATATTTTAGTTATGAATAACTAGGCACTGTGCTTGTGACTTGTTTATAGTCTAACCAATACTTTCCAATACGATTTTCCCACAATTTTCGTAAAGCTTTTGGCTAGGGACATGTAAACTCGAAAAAGAGTGTCCGAACCTATTTAATGGAGTATGGGAAAGTTCTGGAGGAAAGCTTCTTTTCTTTCTCTAATGGGGAGTGATTGAATAACAGAAGAACATAGAAGCCCTGAAGTCGCCAGAGATCGCTTTGTTAGTACAACCGTTCTCTAGGCACACTGACTAGAAAATGGAAGTCATGCAAGAGGAACTGAGAAGCGTACGAGAAAGTCCACGTAGCTACACAATCAGTGAACCGTAGAATCTTTTCAACTGTGAGTTAGGTGGCACTTAGTCAACGTTGTGAAAAACTTAGAACTCTTCAACCACTCATGGGATAGTTGGAGAGCAAAAGTGTGATGATTTAGTAAATGCTTAGATTGTTGGGCGATAGCTTATGTATACATATGGTGAAGGAGATGGGAGAAATATGTCACACATATGGAGATGGTTCTCTCACTCATAACCTCTTAGTCAACCTACTTCATTCCCATATGTAGTAGTGAAGTTGAAACTAATAGGGTAGATGCGTGTAGTTGATTCTAGGTCGTATTCACATATGTCAGCTGTTTTGTTGAGCTAATGATATAATTCAATTGCGCGTTTATTAGTTATCTTGGGAGTTATATACTGTTCGAAGCTTGAGATGTAAAATGACTGTTGATGAGTATTTCATGTCATAGTGGCTGGGCTTTCGTCAATGAAAGCTTCGATAGAGAAAAGCAATACATCGTGAGAATTACGATGACCTCCGAATATTGCATCGTTCGTGCTTTTCCTTCTGTCTGCTTTATATGGTTACATTATGACGATAGCAAGGTTTATGAGCTCTCAATAAGAGGAAAACAGAAATAGAACGAAGAGGAACAGTCAACTAGCAAGAACAGCTGGTTCTGGGGCAGTATAGCTGCTGATCGCGCCATATTGCGACTTATAACCAGATAAGAGGGAAAAATTTACGATTTTAAGAAGTTACTTAATCTTGAGCATATCTTCTAATGTAATTATCCCACTTCATATTGTTTTCAATAGATAGAGTATGACACATTTCTTTTTTCAGTTACAAAATGAAGCCGAATGCGTTGCAGCACACTATTGCCAACGAGAACTGGCTCAGTCAACTGAGTCTGCAACATTGGTTCGTTCAATTGCCATGCAGTTAGTTAAGAGGTTTGCTAATCCATCTTTTCACTAAGCTTATTATCATTTTCATCAGATTTCCTAACTTGGTTATGCCGAATTTATCAACCGTGACTTTGCTCTCGGATTATGCTGCAGGCTTGCAGCAGTATTTAACACTCCCATTGGCATCATTGCCACAGCCAAGCAAACCAATGTTCATTCTCGTCGATGATATTCAAGTTCATTCATATGCTATAATACTAGAGGTAAGAATTAACTTAATTCACTAACTGAATGACGAGAAATGATGAATGCAACCTCTTTTCTAAGAAAATGATTTCAAATGAGATTGATAGGATTGCTTTTGGCGGTCAGCGATCATTTTCAAATCCTTGAAACACGAGATAAGCTATAGTTATGGCTATATGACAGTATTTATTCATAAATGAAACAATACTTGACTTATTACCCCTTTTGAATACATAATAAGTATAAAAACAAAACAGAAATATGATTGGATTAGTTATGGATTGGGTTAACATATGCGCTTATACGGCACAGATAAAAGCTCGCCGATCTTAATAATTCACTTGATGAGGCAGGATGAGTCAGATTTCAAAGTCAATAGCCTACACAATAGCAACGACCGACGATTTTGACACCTTTTGCATTGTATTCACAAATAGCAATTGATCATGAATAAGGGTAATTTTCTATTTTTGCAGCTACTGAATTGCTTACCGACATGGCTTCGTTTGGTTGTTACATCACGTCCTATTCTCCCAGGAGAACAGTTTCGTTTCAAAGGTACTCAGAAATATGATTTCGATGTTTATTCAAATTGTTTCAGAATTCCATCAACTCTTGATTGGTGATAACGCCGACGAGCTTCACAGATTCATCGAAGTACGCCTCCCTTCTTGCAACTCAGAAGATGTCTTAGATGCTTGCCAAGTAAGTACCTGAGATTAAAAGTTGAAGCATTAAACTTTTTAGGGATCATGGTCCTACGTAGATCAGTTGGGACGTGCAGTTGATCGAAATCTGATTGCTGCTGACCATATTCCATCAACGTCTAAAGATCTCATGGACGACATTACAAATGCATTGCCTGTCCGTTTGCCAGTCTACATAATGCTCATTAAGGTAACGAGACGTTTATATAAATATTTAATTCGTTCTTGTAATTAATTATATATTATATTAGCTTCAATTTCGGATGAAGTCATCCTCTAATTCTCATGTTTTGATTTACTAATTAACCTTTCACCTCATGTGTCATTCTTTCAGACATCACGACTGCCACCTACGAACGAGCTTCTCCTAGCTGTTAGCCAACTTGTTATTAATGATTCATTAGTAATAATTGAACGTGAAATCAATGAAATATCCATGATATTCGAATCACGAGGTATGAAGAGCTCCACCCATTCATCTCATTCCTAACCTTCTCAGAACCAATTCGATTATCTGGCACGTGGCAAGAATACCCAGATGATCCCTTAGCAGTTTATCATGGTGCTTGGGCTGAGCTTTACAAAACTAAACTGAGGAAAAAGCCACAAGACATCATTGAATTGGCTTATCATCTAGCTCACTCACGTAAGTCGTTAGCACTCAAATGATCACAACCGCTCTGCCCTTCTTTGATTAATGAAATGATGGCTTTCACATTTCATTTACATCAGTTCCACGTGAGACGTGGAACGGAAACGTGCTTAGTATGATGATCAAGTTGAACATCAGTATGTAGAGAACGGAGATTGTTTGCAAACGTAATGAAAGGAAAGCGACTAATTAGCTTTAGCTTCATGTATGAGTTTTATGTGTGAAGTAGTTCCGGACATGTGTGTTGAGAACTGTTGGGATGGAAAGCTTACATCTAGATAACTTCCGATTGATGAGTTTATTGAATGTCTGAAATATACTGCGTTTGTTGAGGAAACAGGTGTTGTTATAGTCCTTAAGTGGACATATGACTATTATTGAGATACTATGTGCTTGAAGTTAATTGGCAAAGCAAGAAAGAAACACTATAAAGGTCGCTGAGTCGTTGAGCATTATGGGATGCTTGTTTGAAACATCTGTTTCCTTCAGGAGATGTGCAACCTTTCTTTTATTGCCATTTATGAGCTTCAGAGGTAATCTTATGTAAGCTTGAAACTGTCTCAACGACTATACCAACTACTGGGGGGAATTGAATTTCAAGCTTGACTTCTTATACTGTCAATTATATAACATCTGGTGCGATATTTTCTTGACGTTCACGCTGTTTTGTAATTCGATAGGAATCCAAGATGACGTAGTCAGAAATTCTGTCATATATGCACTTTCCTTCCAGTTGAGTTTCCAGAGCTTAGAAGCTTCTTGAAAATCGTGAGTGGTTCCGAGTAGTTGGCCTGACTCTAACAGATGATCTAATACAGCTCATTTCCATAAGTGAAGTAAAATGGAAATGAAACTGGGAGGGATGTGGAAAAAAAGAAATTTCATAAGAATGTCATGCTGATCTAATCGTATTTAAAATGAAGGCTTGAAAATGTCCAAACGTCGATCTGTCAACTGCCGTTGAATATAATTTCCATATGAGTGGCTTCCTCCAAGATGTTCCAAGATAACATTATGAAGTGTCAGACGTTCATTTCGTAAAGAATGACAGCTTCTTCATTTGAAATTCCTGTAATCTATATGATGATGAACGTACAAATGGATTTTTACAAAAATATTTTGTTTTCAGATATACCACCACTTGAAGCTATTCGAACTCTCATATCTGTCGGGGCCGACGATATTATTCTGAAGTGTTCTGTCATCGATATTCCAACCTCAATGCTTCTAATGAAAGCCGGAACGACAATTCTGGATTTGAGTACTAAAGTGAGCTTTCTTTCATTTCTCAAACGATCTCATTGAATTAGTTTCGCAGAATATTTTTTCAAATTAAATGTTTATGTGAGCAGAGATCGTGACTATAGCTCATCCAAAATACGTCGGAAGTTCTGAATGTTCTCCTAATTGACTTGAAAGGCCATGTGGCCTTATATAGCTTTTTGTTGTTCAGAGCTGAAGTCCTCCGATTTGAGATTGTGTACTAATCTGTTTCTTTGTTGAAATTTCGGAAAAGTACAAGGGGCGAAAGAGGAAAACTAACTGAAGAGCATTACAATCACTATTACTATTTCAGGATGATTTCGTTTTTCTGTGTTCATCCGATGATTTGGAAAAGGTTCAAAAGATTATTATGGAAACTCCGGATGCTGTAAGAAATTTCTTATAGATTCCATCATAGTTCTTCTAATTTTAGGAGCTAGCCTCTGGTCTTCTGGCAGCTTCATCACGCGGACACATCCGTATCGTTGAGACCATATTGAAGTGTTGTCCTAAGGTATGAAGCAGAAAAGAAACAACGTTCATATCATGTTCTTAGATCATCAACTGCATTTCTTCCTATGGTCAATGGAACGCCCTGAGAAGCGCTGCATGCAATAATCATTTGGATATTCTCAATCTGTTACTATCTGAAGGTTAGTTTAACTTCATCTGTTACAAAAAAACTGGATGGGACAAATGACTTCAAACATTCGACCCTCATATAATCCTTATCAATTTTGATTATCCTTGTTTTAGGTATCAACGTCAATGAATGTGGCTTTGGTGGCCGGACAGCTCTCCGAGCTGCGGCTTGGGCTGGACATGTGGAGATTGTTGATCGTCTGCTATCAACAGGAGCCAATGTTCATAGTCGAGATAGTGAACAGAGAACTGCCTTGATGGCTGCTGCTTTCATGGATCATACGAAAGTCTTGGATTGTTTGTTCAAATATGGAGCTCAAGTGAATGTAAGAGTTATCATGTATCTCTTCGCTATATGTTATATTCAGGACACGGATTCTGCTGGAGCAACAGCCTTACACCTCGTTCTATCGAATGGCTCAAATTCTGAAGACCATCAGAAGACAGTTGATGTATTACTTACACGTCAGTTCATATATTACAACCATATTGGAACTGTTATCTCTTCAGATGGAAGTGATGTGAACAAAGCTGATGCTCACGGCAGGACGTGTTTACACTTGGCTGGTTTTCATGGAGACGATAATTTGGAAAAAATTCTGAAGCTCACCACTAATATCGATAGCGCTGATTCGCTAGGAAGAACTGCTTTCATGCTTGCCGCCAGTCAAGGAAAAGATACAGCTGTTTCAACTCTCTTCCAAAATGGTAATACAATTCTGAACATTCTTGATAATATGTCTTAATAGGAGCTGATATGGACTTTATCGATAGTCATGGAAGAACTGCTCTACAGCTAGCTGCAGCAGGAGGTCACTTGAATGTTGTTGATCTCCTACTCAGCCTTGGTGCTGACGAAGCTCATAAGGTACCCTGATAATTCATCTTCTTCTCTAATATGTTCATATCAGGATAATGATGGTGCTGTGGCATTACATTATGCTGTTCAACAAGAGGATACTGCTTTATGCCGAGCATTGGCTACCAGCTGCACCATTTCTGAGATCGATAGGCTTGGACAACATCCTCTTATTTGTGCTGTTCAGCATAATAATGAAAAGGTAATTTTATATATTTTCTTCTTTCTTAATAGCTTCTTTGTACAGGTGTTGAACGAACTGTTGCAACTTGGAGCTCCTGTTAACAAGCATACCGTTGATGGCCAAACAGCCTTAAGGGTTGCCTGTTTGAATGGAAATGTTCGAATTGTGCAGGCTTTATCAAGTTGGGTCACTGATTGGGAACAGAAAGACTTGGATGGAACACCTCTATCTCATAGTCTGCTGATTAACGGACAAACATCTATGGCTGAGCTTCTTTTCTCGCTTGGAGCTCAACATTCTGCCACAGATGCTCATCAGCGTGCTTGTGCTCACGTGGTAAGTCTAACTTTTCATTTTTTAGTTGTACGAACGTGTTTTCGGTTGTGTTCATTTTAATATATTTTTTCTAGGCTTGCTCTATCAATGATTTGGCAGCGGTTAGAATGTTAAGAAGACTTGGAGCTTCGTTTGAAGTGGAAGACTCTGGTGGCAGAACTCCTTTGATGACTGCTGTTTGGGCTGGTCATAGTGCTGTAGTTGCTTACCTGCTTGACTCTTTAACTGTGAACCCTAACTGCATTGATGAACAAGTGCGTTTTTTTTGCTCATTCCTCTTTATCTGAACTATTTGTAGGGAGCCTCTCCACTATCGATAGCCGCTCAACTGGGATATCGTGATATGGTGATATTGTTATTACGATTTGGAGCTGAACCTTCCCTACGCGATCATATGGGAAGAACAGCACTTGATGTTGCCAAAATATCAGGACACGAGCACATTATATCAATACTTAAGGTATTGTAGTTTGATCAAGTTTTTTTAAAAACCTTGTTTATTTCCAGACTGCTTCTGGATCAGCAGATTCTTCTGGATTTGGAAGCATGCCAAACTCTCCTCTAGATACCAAATCTTTAGGTCGAAAATCGTTCCGAAGAAGTCAAAAGATATCTTTAACAAGTCCACGACGATCAAGAAGAATCTTTTGAGTGTGATGCTCAAATAGAATTTCCAAAATGTTAATTTCAGTTGTTCATATCTCATTGACTACTTCTCAGTCTCTCTTCCTATCATCTCAAGCATTATATATATTCTAATGAGAACTATTATTTGTAATAGTTACAAAGTATTTTGATCTCTCCCTCTCTCTCTCTATCATATAATTGCCAAAACTTCTAGTTCAAACTGTGTTTTGTGAAACGACTCCGGTGTATTTCTTAATAATGATTATAATAATACCATAAGAAAGAAAGCTATATATTTATATGTAAATATTTGAATAGATTGAATTTTATAATAAAAATATTTTTTCGTTTCTCCCGAATTTCTCAAATGAACATAGAAGGAAGCATCTTGATACTAATAGGCGAACAAACATCTCGCGTCATCTTGGACGAATGAGAACAACCGCTAATAAGGTCCGCTAGGGATTAAAATGATTTCGAGAACCGTAAATCACGTGAAGTTGTTCCGTGTTTCATTTCAAAACTCCGAGTTGACCGAAATTGATCAGAGGCTAACAGTGTCTCGTCGTTGTTGTTCAGTATGGTCAACACTGATATCATTCTCCCGGCTACTGTAGTTCAAATGATAGAATTTGCAGCTTCAGCATGGCTTTCACTCTTCCTCTAGATTTACAATATTTTTTTGTCTCTCCCTTACTTTAGTAATTTCTGAATAATTATGTCACATGCGGCGAATTTCCTTGACTGCTACTTTGCGGACGCGTCCTCTTCCGATCTGATAAACTCAGCTCATGTCTTTCTTCTTTTATATTGATATCAAGGTTGGCAATCAGCTATTTATCCAAAACCTTACTTTCAACAAACATAGTGTGTGGTGAAACAAAAATAAATTTGACCATCTGAATGTGTCATTGAATCAATGAAATTTCAGTATTTGGTTTTCAAGTTGGCTAACTAGTTGCTTTGCTAACTGTTTTTCAGTTAGGAAGTTGGATGAAGGAAAAAAAGAATTTTTTTGGTTCAAACTGAGACATTGGATGATGGCATCATCCTTCAATATTGTCTGTTTGATTTCGTCCTTGACACGGACATTCAGCTGAACTGATCCTCCATACGGATTACATTGCACGTTAGGAAAGGCTGTGAAAGACGAATGACTGTATAATGTGTATGTGCTGCAACATTCTTATACATATAGACGATATCTGATTTTTTGAACTTACACACACACTCATGATCTTCATTGGACATCTTATGACAGCTAGATGTTGATGAACAGGATATAATTTGAAGAGATATGAGAAAGATAAAGGTTAAGGCTACAGTTCATCATAATTAGTGAGTTGTGACTTATCATCATGATAAGACAGACAATGAGATGTCAATGATGTTCAGCATTAGCCTTCAATCAGCTAATTGTTATTGTTTATATCAATTGATGTGCATCTCTCTCTACTTCATCATCATCTTAACCCATCTTAACCCATCTCCTATAGCATCATCCTGTATATCGTTCAAAGTCAGCTATGATAGAAAGCTCAATTGGATGTTTTTACAAATGGTGAAGGCCATATGGTGTAGATGAGTTGAAGAGCTGAAAACTTTTCTTTGTGTCTTTCTCTTTCATGGCAAAGATTACGCAAAAAGGAGGCAAAATGAATGTCTTTCAAATGTGTTTTGGAAGCCCCCATGTGAAATAACAACAAATGACCTTCATTTCTTCTTCTTTATTTTATTGGATGAAAAGTTCAAAATCTCTATCTTTAGATAGAAGCAGAGAAATGAATTGTTGCTTTCAAAATGTGTTTCTTCATTCACATAACTCTTGATCTGTCCCTCTAATCCGCTTACATATCAATTACAGCTTGATTCAACTGTAATCTATTGATTTGTACTTGTCATCATCATCCATTCCCTCTTCCCTCTACCCTCTCTCCACCTCTTCCTTCCACTCCCTTCATTCAACCAGCCAGTCAATCCGATAAAAAGAAGAAAAAAAAAGGAAAACATAAATAATGAAGAGAGTGCTATGTACTTCGCTGGTCATCTTTCAGCTTGACGTTGAAAGATGAAGGATGAATGAATACCGAGGTGAAATGACCTTATATTTACGGAACATAAAGAGAAATCTGTAAAGAAATTAAGAAGAGAAAGACAAGTAACGACTAGAGATACTATCTTATAAAGTTCAATTATACCCACACACACACACATACCGATCCCCTCTCTCTCTCTCTCTTTCCCTCTCTCTATCTCTATCTCTCTCTCTTTGGATTCACTTCCAAGTGAATTAGCATAACTATGTTCTTCTCACACCTTAGTGTTATATATAATTTGAATATGAATTAAGCTTGGCAATAAAAAACAAAATGATGGCTCGTATTGCTCATCAGCTACTTCCCTCAGTTCCTTCTCTCCTTCTCAGCTATTCTCTTTTGTCCCTCCATAATTGCTCATTCATACCATTTGCTGCTATCAATCAACAGTTCTTTTTCTTCTCCTTCTTTACCTTTTTGTATTTCTCTCTCTCTCATGCTCTACTATGTTCGTATTGTCTGAACGAATGGTAAAAGTCTTGTTGCGTTTACTGGCCTTCACCCGTTAAGCCATATATGGCTTAGTCTAACCTTATAAAGACTATTACCATGCTCTATCTCACCTTATCCATTGTCCTTTTCAATTCTACTTTTTATATATATAAATCATAATGAGAATACAAGAAAATGAGATGCTAACGGATAAAAGAAGATAGTTTCTTTGAAACAAATAAACTTCCGGCTAACTATGATGATGGTCAGGTGAATAGCAACGACCACCGAGAAAAGCTTTTGTCATCATCAGCATGCTAATTAGCAACAAAAAAACAAAAACTGTGAAAAGCAACCGCTCTGTGTGATGTGTAATTATAAAATGAATTAGCACACTTCACGTATTTCCGATAGTACTGTCTATTCAGTATGCTAATGAAGCTCAAATGAGATGAGCAAATTAGCATATATGTAGTATGATGATGACTGTCTGCGTGATCTCAAACCCTGAGCAAGCAATATCTTTACACTGTTTTATATGTTCAAGCTTTTACCATAAATGTTGTCACATATAGATACAGTATATTTGGAATAGAATTAGAGCAATGTTAGCTCTGCTTCTTTAGATTGGGCATGTTTACCAATGAAGAAGAAGAGTGGAGGTTAAGACTTCATTCTATTCATGCTGCTTGACTCATATTGCTTGACCCAATACTAGCCAAACAGCTTCCGGCATCTCCGTACCTGCTCATGTCCTTGTATGAACACATCAAACTCATGAATAGCTTGAGATGGTAGCGAGAAAAGAAAATAACTGTAAAAGAAGAAGAACACTCCTCCAAGAGTACATACATCAATGAGAGATTCAGATAGAAGGGATATGAACTGGAAAAGAGAAAATGGAAAGCAATTTGCATACTGTCATCTTACAAGCTATTGGCATTTCTTTACAATTTCTAAACAATAGCTAAAGGACATATAGATAAAGGTTGCGATAATATGAGTTGCGGACAGACGTTAAGAGAGAGAGAAAGAGAGAATGAGACATGAGTATGCTCAAGTTCTCTTCTCATCTTTACCTCTTAATTGCACCTCAGAATGCGTGATGAAATAAAAAAGAGGAGAAAGAAGAAGGTACAGAAGCAAAAGAATTAGCTATATGCATATAGTTCTATTCATTATATGTTATTCTATGAGCCTAATGTGCCTTTTACCTCTATTCATCCCTCTCTCCCACTCTCTCTCTAAGTCTCACTCTCGATACCTTCTCATTTCTCTTTTTTAATAACAAAAAGAGAAAAAAGAGGTAATTGGTATGTAATTCTGCGGTCAACTAATGATTACCGTTTCCTCTTTATCCTTCTAATGCCGAAATGGAAATCTAACTGACAGTCAGTCCCAATGGAGCTTTTTATAGTTTCATCTACCCCGACCATAATCATAGGGTAATAGAGAAAAGACTTTGGTCGTTCCCGCACTTTGTTGCTTTCATAACATCGATACTGTATCATCATTTGGCGCAGTTTTATATGTTTTTGAGCTTCCTTTAAGCAAGCATTTCATCCGCTTTATGTGGCATTGAGGAAAAGCTTTAGTGTGCGCAAATGGCAGGTTGAAGTAAAACTAGTTTTCGTTTTGAAGTTCATTTGCTATACAATCAACATATACAGAGACAGACACACATACATTCAACCTCACAGTTTATACTTTTGCCTCCTGTCAAGCCTTGTTTGGAGAACAAGCTACACTCAGAAACATCAAATGATTCTTTGATCATGGGAAATAGGAAGCACAAAGGTCTCAACTGAATCATCATGGATTGTGGTTTAGTAGGTCGATGAAGCAGTTTTACCTTTTTCATCAAGATTTATTGGATTATCGATATGAATCTTAACCTCTTCAATGACGTCATGATGCTTCTATGCTCTCTGTCTTGAAAAGTCATTGCGCTTATAAATCTTTTTGATGGAAGTAAAGTATGTTAAGAGAGACAGGAAGAGAGAGAGTGATGAGAGAGAGAGTGATACAGAAGATGATTCGCTCTGAAATGTGATGGAACAATCCAAATAGCTTTAACCATTGTGAATGCCATTGGAAAGTGCAACTATCGAATGATTCGAAAGATGCGACATGACATACGAAACGAAAATGTATTTTTACAAGCCGTTTAAGCTTTATTGTCTCATTAACATTGAATAAATGTGGTGAGGAAGGATAAATGACTCTTACAGTCAAATGATGATGACATGTGCAAAGTTGAGAAGAAGAAATGACGAAGAAGCACATCGAACTCCCTCATCACTCTCTCTCTCTCTCTATCTCTTCCTCTCTTTGTTCATCCTAATCCTATCCAGATACTGTCGATCCCTCACAAATGATAAATACAACTCTTCTTCTTTCCTTTTTTTTTCTCCAAAAACAAGCTTCACAATCACTTGATGACCTGAAAATCGCTGTTGTGTGTGTGTGTGTGTGTCCATTTTTGGCATTCAAAAC